TACTTTACCCCATAAATTACACTTCTGTTAACTCTGTTATTGAGATGAGGTTTTAAGGGTATTTTCTGAGAAGACTGGGACTTGAACTTGGATCTTAGCAGGTCTAAGTCATAATGTAAAAAGTGCAGGACTAAAACAGAGACCCGAGTTCTGATCTCTAAGCTCCACCTGAATTGCCACATGCAGCTGCTCTCAAGGACGCTTTGCCCAGGGGGCCATTTAGCAGTGTCTGAAGATATTTTGATGGTCACAACTGGTAGTGTGGTGGGGGCGATCGTTACTGGCATCTAGTGGGTAGAGGTCAGGAATGCTGCTAACGCACAGGACCATCTCCACATTAAATAATTCTCCTGCCCAAGGTATCGGTGATACTGAAGTTGAGAAACTTGACCTATGTATTCACTCCTTTTTTGGTTTGTCTGTTCATTTATTAATTAGTCCACACATTCCTTTATTTATGTACTATCTATCCATCAGCCAATTAATTAATTCCTTCAAAAGATTTTTATAAACTGTCTACTATGACTTAAGACTGGACTAAGCTCTAGGGATTGCAAAGACAAGACTTATCCTATTCTTGTTCAATCTAACTGGGGAGCAAGTCACTTATGAAATAGAGGCCTGGTGCATGAAATTCATGCATGAGTAGGGTCCCTAGGCCTGGCCAGCAATCAGGCCAATCTGTGGAGCGACTGGCGGGGCAATGGGGGGGGGGGCACTGGCACCCGCCTTGGCCAGCCTGTGACCTGCAGGCTGGGGGCAGCTCCTGCATTGAGCGTCTGCCCCCTGGTGGTCAGCGTGCATCATAGCGACCGATCATTCCGCCGTTTGGTCTATTTACATATTAGGCTTTTATTATATAGGATATTGCCATCAAATGTGCTCAGTGTTTCAGTGGTAAGTGTGAGATGTTACGAGAACACACAAAGGGTGTGATGAATTCTGAAGAATGTGACAGAATTCAGGAAGGCTTCATAGAGGTGGGGGTATTTATTGGGTGGGTGGGTGCAGGGTGGTCATAGAATGAAATCTTGAGCAAAGCACAAACAGAGCCAGAGACAGAGTAGTCCAAAGTGTGTTTGGTGAGCAGTGTACTGTTGTGGTATGAGATTAGAGTGAGTAGGAAGAGTGGGAAAAGAAAAAGAGAAAATCTTTAAAAAGTAGAATGGGGCCACCACCCATGGTTAGGGCCTTGGACTTCATTCTCCAGGCATTTAAAATTAAAAATAGAAGATGTTAGCCATGTGGCACTCACTTAACCTCTTGAGGCCTGAGTTTCACACCATTAAAGAATTTGGTGAGATTCTTTCAGGTTTCCTTTTAAAACTATAAAATCAACCTATTAGAAATATTAAATACTGTATATTCTTAAATTTATATTACAACTATCAATAAAGATCATAATATCGATAAAGAAAACACCTTTTTATACACAAAAATTGTGTTGTCCCAGGTATTTACTTTCATTATAATGAATCAAATGTAATATGTCCCTATTAATATACTTTGTGTTCCTTCTAAGGCTGGAAATACTTAAAAAGATCAAGTTATTCTGCAGCATATACAGTCTTCCTATTGGTTTATTCCTATGTCAATAAGTACTTTAGGTTACACCCAGGATAAATTTTTGAATTTTTTTCTCAACCTTCTCTACTATATGTACTTTTATCAATACCTTTCAGATGATCTAAGTGGTTTAACATATGTTTTATAATTTGAATAATTACTTTAAAAATATTAGATTTCAGGGAAATAAAACAATGAAGTAGTTTATGTTTTACATTAATAAATGAAGAAAGCCCCATAATTAACAACTGTTTGGATTTTACTTGAGTAAAATTAGTAACTATCAAGTGAATATTTGATATAATTTGATTGTGATTTATAAAATATATTCTTATATATATTTTTCATTTAGTATGTTTATACTTATAATTTAAATTCAGCTTTAAAATATCGGTAGCTGAAACCACTGCTATAAACCAGTTCAGTTGTCATTCAGAATTTGAGCCCAGAGATAAAATGGTCTAAGATTAAAAAAAAAAAAATTAGATGGGGGTTGGGGGTTGCAGAAAAGAAAAATGGGCTCCATATCTAAATTAAAACACAGAAATCTCCTTTGAGGAAAATGGCCATCCTCTTGCCCCGAATAGAGAAATGAAAATACTGATGTTAAAAGTGACAGAGGCATTGGGAAGGGCAGGCCATATTACAGTCTCCTGAACTGGATAGTGGCATTAACTGACCACTTTCATCCTTGCCTGTTGTCTGACTATCTGTCTGCTCTATTTGATTGCATCTGTTTGAATCCTTGTTTCTCCTTCCCCCAATTTGTTATCCTTCTGTTTCTGCACCATATTCCCTCAGGTATTAATTAAAGCCTTGGATGGATTCTTTCAGATATGAATACCCATTCATACTTACTTTCCTTCACAAAAATTATCGTCAAAACCCACCCAGTAATTGAAAAGTAGTGTGGATTTCCCACAGTGCTTGCATTTTGAAACGGCATCATGGACTCGTGTCAAGATAGAGAGTTCATCTTCAAAAGATGATAACCTTGCACGATGTTATAAAAAGGGTAACAGGCACCAGAAGAGGGGTTGAACTAGTCAGTGGTTTGCAAAAGCACCTTAGGGTTCCCAGAGGGGCCACAGAAGAAGCAGTAGCGGGTGGGGTTAAGTGTAGGATGTGGGACTCAGCCACCACCACCTCCCGCCTCTACCCTGCTTTCTCCCAAGCTCTGCCTCCACCTCTAGCCCGTCTGTTCCAGGTCACACATTAGCAAAGGTCCTGAGAAGGCACCAGATGATCTCTAAGATCCCTTCTGAGCTGAGCTTCTATACATTTTTACTTTCAGATTCTTTCCCAAAACGCAGAACTTCAAGCTAAAAAGATTGCATAATAACTGAGGCACAAAGTAGGGTAAAGAAAACGTTAAAAACAACAGCACCCAAAAATTAAACTTGCCCACCTCTTCCTAAGAAATTAGACATTTTCTATTTAAGTGTAATTAAAATAAATTTAAAAAGTTAAATCCCTTCAAACCCTGAGATAGTCAGTAAAAGACAAACAAACCAACAGGAAAACCTTCACTCAAACCTTCCATTTGAATGTCCTGCAGAGACCGAGCTTGGAGACCCGCCCAAGAGCAGAGGTAGTTCTTAGGAAGGGGGCTGTTCAAGGCCAGGACAGCTGGGAACACAGTGAGTGAGGCCATGCAGCCACAGGGAGCTTCTCTTCAGGGTCTCCGACTCCTGTTCATACAAGAGGTGACCCTCTACCTGTCAATTAAGAGCTGACAGTCACTTGCATATACATAGGACATGAAGTAACCACAGTCCAGAAGTGCCTACATGTGCACCATCATAATACCTGCCACTGTTCTTACTGCAATTTGGCAGTTCTTATCCACTGGTTACAATTTTTCAAGTAAATATTTATTGATAAAAACCTCATGAGCCAATGAAAATTTATGTTCCTAAGGGGAAAATGTTTCTAAACATTCCCAGCATTTTTTCTGGACATGATACATTTTTGTGACTTGCAATAGTTTTAGAAATTATCTTAATGTAGTCCTATAAGTTAAATTTTCAGCAAAGATTCTAAATTAGTTTTAGGAATTGCTTTTCATCTGCAATGTGATTAATAGCTATAAAAAACCCAGCTTTGGAGAGGGGCTCTCAGTGACCCCTCATTCATTCAGTGCCTACATCCAAGAATAAAGGCACCCACACTGTATGACTGCGTGGAAGGTGTGAAAAGTCAAGGAATGGATTAAGGGGTGGGTAGATCATAGACTTTTAACTTTTGGCTAGTTATATGAGACCTTTCAAGTGCAAATGAAGAGATGCATAATAAGTGATTTCAATTTAAGCTACTATCTATGCTTACATTCTAGACAACTGGTTTTTCATGGTAAAGCGATCAGCTGACCACAGAGGAAGAATCCAATTTATGCTGTGTAAAGGGAAAGATATTTCCCAAATTTTAAGGTGAAAAAAAGGTTAATTCTGGAAATTTTGTGCTTTTTTTCCTCCTTCATTAAGACAAAAATTGCTTGAGATCATTTCCCATAATTCAGGCCAAGATGAATGGGCAATGGAAGTATTTCTATTAGTTGCTGTATCTTTTTTTTTTTTGCCAAGCTTCTTTTCTTCAAAGTAAATGAATACTATAGCTTGCCCCACTCCAAACTAAAAATGGCAGCAGTGAAACCCATTTGCTATTTTAGAAAATGACTAATAAAACACATATTTCATAATATGTGATTCAAATAACTTAATATACGTGATTAAAACCACTTCTGCAGTTATTCTAAAATGGCAGTCAGAGTTGCTTTTAAAAATCTTTCATTTCCAGGCCACATTTACATGAAAAAGATAACATCTTTCCATGCTCCATAAGGAGGGAAGGAAGTAGCATTGAATCTGAAACAGTGCAAGAAGGTGAAAGGGAAATCTTCAGCGAGAACAATTGCATTAGGAATTAGACTCTGTCTTTCTAAGGGGAACTCTCTAGTCGTGTTATCTGGAAACACATGTGGATGCTAGAATATGAAAATAGAAAACAGCCATGACATGAATTAAAATGTTCTTTAAAACATTGTTTCAAAATTGCAGTGCACGATAGGAAACTTCCTAATTACCCATATTCTGAATTGCTTCAGGTAAATGGGTAAGGAAATGTATTAGGTGAGTAGAGTTATTTTGCTCGTTTTAATAAGGGTTTGCCTTCTTGTAAGATAAGTTGGCCAATTCGAATATATATGGAACTCCTTGAACAGACTATAAATTATATGTATCCACTGGCCTGGAAATTTCCACCCTTGACATTTCTGGTTTTGTTGCCCATTTGGGGGCCCGAAGATAGGATGCAGGCAGAGCCAGCGGCGCAGTGTCCTCTCAACCCTACAATCAGAAACGGGCTGGCACAAAGGGGACCGCAACCACTGGGCAGGGATCAGGGTGAGGCGAGGAGACGAAGTTGGCAACTGCAGGGTATGAGCCAGTCTTTATTTAAAATTCTGCTATTGTGTTCACCGTGGATTTCTAACTGTGCATTCATGTTGGTTTTTAAGGTATTGCATTACTGAGTTTTTTGGCCCCCACTTAAATTTTGCTCCCAAAATGTATCTCCCTCACTCCCTCACCCTAGTCCCAGCTCTGCTCCGGCACTGGGGCTCTGGGTCCCAGCGGAGCCTGGAGCCCCACTGGAGCACAGCCTTCGCTCCCACCGCCTCAGCTCTGATGGGCCAGGGAAGGCTCCCACAGGAACCACGGCTCCTGCTTGCACACATGGAGGGCAGGGTGCAGACAAGCATCCTCTTGGTCTCCCGGGGAACCACTGGGAATGTCAGGGAACAGCTCTCATAGCTGTTGACACTGGCCGTGGCTTCTGTGTGTGGACAGGAACCATAGTGACACAGGCATTCATGCCCTCAGCGTGAATTTAGCAGGAGAAACGAGGAGAGTTACACACTCACCCCAAAAGCATGAAGAACCCCTGCAGAGCATGCTAAGTTATATAAAAATGAGAGGCTTGGTGTACAGATACCGGAAATCTGACACACAGCTCTTTAAATCACGGAATGGGCAGGGTCACGAGTGGTAGAGCTCAACTAAAGCCGAGGGCACCTTTCTGTTCTTGAAGAGAATGAAATGGCACTTTTCAATCTTATTGCTGAACTTCTCGTCAGACTTGCGGGTCTCTGTCTCCTGTCTCGTCCCAAAAGACAGGCTGACAGTCCTTAGGCAGGGCCAGTGGCTGCCCCTCCATAAAGAACGTGGAGGCCTGCTTTCTCTCCATTTGTGTTTGATGGGAGTAGAGTGGAGAAAGGGACTGAGGTTGACTAACTCCTGGGTGTTCGCGCTTACTCATGCCAGGGAGCCCTGGAGGGAGAGAGACTCACAGGATTAGGAGAAGTGGGGAGAAGCCTGACTCCCGGCATTCGCTACAGCCAGAACCACGAGGCCCTAGTGGTCACACTTTCCTCTGGGGGGATACGCAAAGACCAAATATAATGGGACTGCTCTGTCTTTCATCTTAGCAAGTAGTCTCATCATAGGATTGTCTGCAAACACGAAGTACACAGGCTGCCGTTCCGTCGTCCTCCATGGAAGTCAACTTTGGACACTTTTTGGAAATTGGAAGCGAAAGCTCTAGGTAATAAAAGCTCTGAAAAGGAAAGAAGAGAAAGTTAGGGACATGGGTCTGATTAAAAAGCTCTCAAAATTATCTGCTGACATTAGATGGGTATTGGGTTTTAGGTATTAACACGACTATCTGTCTATTTTATACATTTCTATGCAGATTCAGTAGGGAAAATGCTTAAATATATACTTAATTCCATAGGATCCCAAAGCACTTGAGGATTTAAACTGATAAGCCAACCTCAAAGGGACTGATTCTTGCTACTAAAACACAGACACCTCTGGGGTGAAATGTGGCAACAGTTTGACAGGCATAGCAGTAGCTTAGGCCAGAAAGGATTTATCCAATTAAAATTATGGGATGAATTTTGGCTGGCAGAATGTAATTACCAGCCTTGGAATGGATCCAGGATCCTGAGGTTAACACCCCGCCTCTTGCCAACAACCCTCCTACCTGCCAACACTCCGAGATGGGGAAGGCAGGATCTGACACAATCGCACATAATACTGTTGTGACATCTAAGTACAATGATGATGATGTGAGAAGCATCGTGAACCTGATTTTTTTTAGCACTCATTATGTTACTTATTTTTATGCCACATTAGGCTAGAAACCAAATGTCCACATAAATGTTAATTTCCTCAAATCTGTATTTAAAAAGTATAATTAGAAAATAAAAAATAGATTTAAAAATTAATTTATTCTGTCAAAGTAGTTATTTAGTGATTATTGCAGTTTAGAAACGAAATTGGATCAAAATGGTGGCATTTAATGGTTGCTGCATTAAAAAAAAACCACACACACAGGTCCTGAATTTTTGGAAGAGAAATGTGTTCTCCCGAGTTCGCTGGCCTAGAAAAAGGGGAACGCCTAGGGCTTGGTTCACAGTGGTTGAAACGGGCTAACCGGTCAGGTGCAAGCACTGCTTGGTCCCAGGGCGGGTCCGTTCCTTCTCACGGGTGCGCGCCGCAGGGGAACTGGGCCGGGGGTGCTGGTGCGCCCGCGCCCGGGAAGAGCCCCCGCAGGTGCCTGGTCCAGGGGAATGGCCTCGCCTTTGGATCCCGCTGCCCTCTGTGCGAGGCAGTCATTTCCCGGAGGGAACTGTGCAGACTCCCCACGGAGCCGGAGCGGCCGGCGGGCAACGCCAACAAGGACGTTCAGCTCTCCCGGCCGCGGGCGCGCGGGGCGAGGCCGGGCGAGGGTCACGGTCACGGCCACGGAGGGAACGCAGGCAGGAGCGCGCCGCCTCGACGGAGGCGGGGCTGGCGGCGGAAGCAGCGGCCACGCGCGGC